AACTTAAACAAATAGTTGACGTTAATTAATAGCAACTCAATTCATACAAAATTTGCAAAAAAAAATAAATCAAATTTAAATATGCAAACTTGAGGCACCAGCCATCTATGCGGAAAAGATGTGCGATCGAATGCAGTGCAACAACAACAAAAAACTGGTTAGTAGCTAGCTTGCAGCGAAGCTAATATTCAATCATTTCAATGTCAAGAGTAAACTTTAGCAGGTTTGGCGTTGAACAGACTTCTAAATTGAATTTGACTTTCAGCAGCGTCATTGTCAATTGACTCGAGAATGGAGAGAATAGAGTTGTGGTGAAGTGGATAGAATTATTAAAAAGCACACACACACATTAAATAAACAATCGATCGAGGATTACTAGGATTGTTTGCCAATTATTAAAAACAATTATTATTATCTCAGACTTCGAACAACGCAATATTCTCAACAAGTATTTCCAATGTAGTAATTCATATAAAAATAGTATTTTAACACGCCAAATAGCCAGCCAGAGGCTGACCGGCTAGGCTGCAATGACATCACATCCATCAACGGAATCTGTTTATTTATTTATCTGGCATGGCTCTGCTGTGCATACAAAACGCAAATGGAAAATACACAAAACTAAAATAAAAATCAAACAAATAATGGACAAATAAAATGAGTCGGAGACACGTTTGCCAAAAAAAAGAAGGCCAGATCGCCCAGAGAAAAAAAATACACTTACAAAAACGATCAGTTCATGAAAATTGAACTTTTTTTGGAGGATGTCAAGTTTTACATAAGGAAAATCCAGCAGCCCAAATATGCAGTTTGACCCAGAATTGCTCGTTTTGTAGCATTTGAAAACGTTGTGGCCTCTGTGAAGTACTTTCCTGCAAATCACTTAAAACAACTTGAATTTCCATTTATGATGACAGTTCTGACAAACGCAATGATAATATTTACTTTTCATTAGGAGAGTATTGAAATGAAAAACATCTGTTTTTGGCATACAAAAGATATAATATCTTTTTTTTTAATTTTTGAAATGCAACACTTTTTCTAGGGTATTCCCCCATATTTTTTTTCTTTTGCAACAAAGGAAATGGTCTTCATATGTTTTCCCCATCTTTTGTGATTTCAACACAATCCCATTGAAATGGAAGTGATTCTGTGCTGCAAACATATGTATGAATGTAGACACGCGTGACTGAAATTGAAATGGGTTGTGGAAGGAGAAGAGGGGAAATTCTGGAAGCGATCGTGGAACTAGTCTACATATGATGCAATGTTTTTTCTTTAAAAACTTAAGCGTGATTCACTCATCATCAATGAACAAGTTTTCGAATGACTATCAGCCATAGTTTGTAATTCTGAATAATTACACAAGGTTACAAGGTATTGAAGTGGAATGTAAATTCAGAATTAACACATTTTTAAAATTGATACAATAAGGCATTTTGAATAAGAAATTTTTAAAAATACAATTCTGAGCATTATCTGATAAAATATCATTAACATTTTGAGTTCAAAAAAAAATAGATAATAATAATAATAAAGTAAGCAAATTATTTCTTATTAAAATATTGAACAGGAACATTAAGACGACATTCCTCTAAATGTACAGGGCGAGATGAAAAAACTGTTATTTTGTTCACAAGCGTGCAAAAGCATATTGCTGAGAATTTTCCAGAAAAAAAATATTCGTGATGGATTTCAAGCGTGATAGTGTGATTTCTTCATATATGGCTGGAACAACACAAGTGGCTATCGTTAGAGCACTCCAGCATTAAACTGTGAATAAATATTTTGTGTCTCGTACCATCGCTCGTTACCGTGATACTAGCAGCGTAGCCCGACGTCAAGGAAGTGGACGGAAGAAAATAGCAACATCAGCTGAAATGGTTCGAAAATTAAAAGAGCGACTTGATCGAAACCCGCGTCGCAGTGGCCGATAATGGCTCGTGAGCTGAACATTCGGAAAATATTCCATTCGGCAAATATTGAAAACACCAATTGAAATTCCAATAGGTGCAAGAACTTACACCGCAATAGAAAGAAAATAGACTCAAAGGAGCTAAAGAGTTGCTACGCTTGGCCGAAAGTGGCGAACTGCCGAATTTGGTTTTCTCCGATGAGAAAACATTCGTTGTCCTGCAGTTTGTAAATAAACTAAAATCTCCGAATACAAATCCACCAATCCGTTGGACTATTGTGTCCGGATTATTTCTGAAAGCAAGGTTGGCACTAAAAAATACCAAAGCAATCTTCACCGGGAATGGGCCATAATACCACAGATCAACATTCGGCAGAGTGTGACGGTTTCATTGGCCGTTTGAAGGCCATAATTCGTAAAAATCTAAGAATATTCTAATACTTGATGCTATTTTCGACATCTTTTGCTTTCATTCAATACAATTTAAAAAAATGTAAAAATTATGGCGTTTGACTTTGTTGCAGTTTTTTTATCTTACCCTGTATATGTCATTAAACAAACGGCAGGACTCGAAATTCACCTGCCTTTGGTAGTGGCCGGCCACAAAGGGTCAACATTTCATACAACTGTGAATCTACCATCAGACAAAGACGTCTTTAAGTTGGTCCGAACAAAGGCTACGTAGTTATACTATTGCAGTCGGAGTTATGTTAGGTGTTTATGTCTTAAAGTGAAGTTGGGGGATGAATATTGTGATTTTTTTTAGCCATTTCAGAATAACTTCGTTTATAGGCATAGACTTCTCTTTCGCTTCTATAAGAAGAGTTGTGCCTACCTAGTTCGATCCAAAGAATTGGTTCCTTATCAAGTTCCGTGGAATCGGGACGTTTGTATAAAAACTCTGCGTATGAGTGATATGAAATATATGAAATCACTCATACGTTTGGGAACTGGTGTACTGACCTATGAACTAAATTAACCCAACTCTATGTATAAAAAATCAACTTCGACAAATGTAAATCTAAGTTGGAGAAATATTGAAATCTTTCATTGAAATGGTTAAAGACATATTAATCACTAATCGTTTCCACTAATCAATTTCTACTCTCAAAACGAACAATTGTGGCCATGAAGATGCATCGAAGTGGAAGCACTCTTACGTGGGAGTGGCCATCACATTGCACTGGTAACCATGCCCACTTGCCATGGCTAAAATGAGGTTCAACCATTCGCTAATTCTGCAAATTCGTCTCTACATTTGAATAGTTTATAACGCAGTTGGGGGACTGCCATTCACTTGTTCTTGTTCTCTTCATTCGACTGCTTAAGTATGTTTAAGAAAACTGTTTCCACTATCTTTAAAATTAATGTAATTATTTTATTATGTTAAAAGTTAAGCAAATGAAATCGTCGACGATCACTGATCCGTTGCTTTCTTGGTCTAGAATAAATGCTTTTGCCTTTTTTTGTGAGCGCACCGAGAATGGTGTATAAAGAAGATAAACACATTATTACAACGGTAATAATCTTAACGACCGACAATAAAAGTGGTTTCGTATGAATAAAAATGAATGATATCTTTGAGAGAAAAAGAAAGAAAAAAATTAACCCGAAAAGGGTTTTTAACTTGGTGGTTATCGAATTAAACTGCAGTAATTAATAAGGCAGAGTTGTTCGAAATGCCACAAAAAGGCGAAAAAAATTGTAATACCGATACTTAAGTAGGACCAAAAATCTGAATATTGGCATTTTCTAAAATTTCACTGTAGGAGAAAATAAGCTTTACGACCTGTTTCTGTACGACAATACGAATGTGAATACGAAAGATAAACACCATTCCTAATAAGTTTTTTTTTTATATTGAAATACAAAATTTGCAAAAAACACATTTGGATTGATGTTTTACGTTCGCAAATAATAATTAGACCTAAAAGCATCAAATACTGTCAACCTTCTCTAAGAAGGCCCTTTTATAATAAATCTGATCTGTACGGCCTTATTATGCCTAGGTGCGCTTAGTAGTACAAATGCTGTTGCTACTACCACGAAACGGTAAAACACATTTCGTGTTGAAAAGCCAACCTTGTCGTTGAAAAGCATACGACGCGCCTTGTTGCTTTGCCACATTTGTTTCCAACAACAATTTCGAGTGAGAAAATGCAATTAAAAATAAAAACAGAAAATTAAATGTAACGAAAAACCCCAAAGAAAAATTAACGGCAGTGACGACGATGAGTGCTGAGTTTTCAGCGTAAAACAAAAATACAAAACCTAAAGTCGAAAAGTCAGGCGGACGGAGGGGCGCACAGGCACACAAACAAACCAAGAAATGCGACATATGAAAAATAAAACGTTTGTAAATGGCTACAAAACCACATGGGCTCGAATTACAAAATCTGGTCCAGGAAAAATAATTACAGAAAAAAAAAACACAATTATCCGGAAATATCAGAAAATGTGTGGTCGTCTTAGGTAGTCAGTCATTCGGCCCAATGGCTGAGAACAATAGAGCACTTCGTCTAGCCAAACTAAAAGCATATGCATATAACTTTAATTGTAATTCAAGTATTTGAATTTCTATTTTTAATTAGACCATTGCGGTGGTCAATTGTAGTGGCATTTAGTGATCAGCTAGCCAGCCAAGCCATCTGGCCAGTGCTGTTCACTCAACCTGTTGATGGCACTGTCCGGCCACCATATTTACACGATGGGACAATGTACTTTACATGGGATTTGTTGTTGTTAAACTCTAACGGAACTTCATTCTATGGCGCAATTGGCAAATATCAATTTCCGGCATACGAAAATAATCATTGAAAAAAAGACCCAAGGCATGTAAAAAAACTATGTAGAATTGATTTGCTGGGCATGCCCACTAAATGTTTTGTTATTTCACAAAGAGGTATATTTCAAAAAAAAAAAAAAGAGACGCCCAGAAGTTCAACCAGCCAAAGAGAACTGGGCATTTTGGAAAACCATTGTCATATATATGATGTTGATGTTGTTGTATTTTTAATTGTTTACTATTCAAATGATATTTCCATCACATCGATCAAATAAAGCAAAGTAATGTTGTTGTACTCACTCTTGTTGCTGCTTCACTAAGTTATCCAATTTGGCCTGTAGGGCCTCCGCCGAGGGTTTGTGTACTTCCCCAAGGAATGTGACGATTGATTTTGAGAGCGCCTCAATATCTTTATGTGATGATTTAAGTTCTTCCGATTCGCTGAGTATTTCCTGTTTCAAAAGAAAAACGATAACAACAAAAACAAATAAATTAGAAAAAATATCAAAGAAATCGACGAAATCGACATTAATTGGGAATGTTATCACAGCAAATTGATAAAGCAGCAGGCATCAAACAATGCCCTCAAGCAACCACAATAAATATCTTTTGGGGTTTGGTTCGCTTCAAAGGGATTGTTGTTCGAGCCATTTTAAACAAGTTGACGCATTTTTGGTTGGTTTGTTGTGTTTTTTTTTTTTTTTTTTTTTTTTTATTCTTCTATTTCTTTGGTATAAATAAACCAGTTGTGGCCGATATTGTTTTTTTTTAACTTAAGAACCACAAATTAGATATGCATATTAATTTCTGAACACCAGGCTTCAGGCTAATTAAGAGGGTGATGAGCAAAACAAAAGATAAAAGAGGAAATAGCTTTGGAATCTAACCAATTCGAACTGGATTTTTTAAATAAAAATAGATTTTCTTTTTATTTTGGCAATTCCGATGTTCCTCAATCGAATTGGGAATTTTTATTTTTTAGATACAGAAGAGATTTAGAGATAAGGCTCTTTGGACCAAATCCGTTTCAGGACTTAGGAGTAATTCAGGGAAAATATTTTACTTCATAGAAAGAGAAAGGATCATTTGTTTTTGTTCCTACATAACAATTCCTAATATTAGCGTCAGTGCTAGGAAAATATCAGCCCACTCATTTTATGCTCTCAGCCATATGGCTATAGAGGATAGATGATATATATTTGATATGGCCAAAACGTGCCTCATCGAAATTGCGGTTTTAGACCTTAGGTCACTCTGGACCAAATTCGGTTTAGGATATTTGGAGTCGATCTAGTGATGTCCGTCCAACATATATTTTTATGAGATAAAAAAGCAACAAAATCAAACGCCATAATTTTTTTTTTTAATTTTACTGAATGAAAGCAAAAAATGTCGGAAATAACATCAAATTTTAGAATAAGTTTAGATTTGTTTGAATTGGTCACCTTTGACACGAATTATGGCCTTCAAACGGCCAATGAAACCGTCACACGCTGCCCGAATGTTGCTCTGTGGTATTTTGGCCCATTCCCGGCGAGGCGCTTGCTTGAGATGATCGACACTTTGGTATTATTTAGTGCCAACCTTGCTTTCCAAAATATTCCAAACGGACTGGTATTTGGAGATTTTGGTGGACATTGTGCGCTGGAAGTGAAGCAAGGAACCTCATTTTGTAACCATTCTTGGGTGGCGCGTGCTGAGTGCAATGGTGCTGAGTCCTGTTGGAATGTCCAAGGTATGCGGCCAAAGGTTTGCGTGCCCAAGTCTTTAATACACCCTCCAGAATATTTTTCGCATTATTATTCGGCATTTATTCTGATGCCACGGTCGATTAATACGAGCGGAGAGCGACCATCGGCCGTTATGGCGGCCTGCATCATCACCATGGCCGGCGTTTGAGTTCTGGTGGTCAACCGAAGGTGCATGTAAACACGGGCATTTTGTTTGTTTACAAGCTGCTGGACATAGAATGTCTTTTTCTTTTGCTGGACATAGAATGTCTTTTTCTCTGTTGCGTTGTAAGTTCTTGCACTTTTTGGCTTTAGCCCGAGCTCATTTTTTAATATTTGCCGAATGGAATATTGCGATATGTTTAGCTCACTAGCCAATTTTCGGTCACTGCGACGAGGGTTTCGATAAAGTCGCTTCTTTACTTTTCGAACCATTTTTGCTGATGTTGCTGTTTTTTCCGTCCACTTCCTTGACGTCGGGCTATGCTACCAGTATCACGGTAACGAGCGATGGTAGGAGATTGGAGTGCTCTAACGATAGCCACTTGTGGTTTTCCAGTAAAATATAAAGGAATCACACTATCACGCTTGAATTCCATCACGAACAACATTTTTTCTTGAAAATTCTCACCAGAATGCTTTTGTACGCTTGTAGACAATGTAATGTGATGCCACTGGAATAATTTTAACAGCTGTCGGACGAGTCGCTTAGAAATGACAGCAGTCTGAATTTGGTTGCAGTTTTTTAATCTCACCCAGTATTTTGCTGTCAGAAATGTTGGATTGTGTGAAGATAGTTTGGAAACTTTTTTCAAATTTTATGGGACTTTCAATTGATCAAGATTTTTATGGTGAGTTACCAGAAAAAGTCGACATATTAAAATGATAACAATTCATAATGTTCTCTTCTTCATTTTCAACTATTCTTTCGTCATCCAACTCGCGCACAGAAGAACGAATGAAAGTAGCTAAATCGACTAAAATTTCCCGAAACGGATCCCGCCCTTAATTCCGAACAAACTCCAGTTTGACCGTATAACTAAGGGTATAAAACTACAAAAGTGTAAAACTATTAGAATTATACACATTGCTTTTATCAGAATCTGCTCTGATAGAAGCACTCCATGGCAGACATAACACGCTTTGGGTATTTACCAAAATTTTATCTAAAATACAGAGGGTTAATGACGTGAATGCTAACCCAGAATATACTTGAATTATGCAAGCGGTTTTCAACAAATACACCGGCATATAACAAATGGAATGATAAACCTAATTTGCCACCTATCCCAAACATCATGGGTGGCTAAATTTGGATCTATAACTCATTAATCGTTGTAGGTATTTAAAATTTCTTTACACCTCAAAACTAAATAAATACTTTTCTAAACATTTGTACGCGTACGTGCATATGTAAACGTATCTAAATGTAAACATGTGTGAAGAAGAATGCAACAACAACAACAAAAACTCTGAAAACTACTAAAAAATTCTCGACCAGACTTTCGAAGGTCAGCAACCAAAAAATGTTTGTATTTTTTCAGAGCGATCGTTGATCGCCATCAACACCACATCGCCCAAAAAAAGCGCCACAAACGTAACAACAACAAAAAACTACAACAAAAGCACTTAATTGAAAATAAAAACTAACAACAACAACAGCGATTTTTTTATAAAAGCTCAGCTTAAAATTAACAAAACCTCTCAATTTAAATTCAATAGAAAGAGGGGAAAAACATGACGGCTAGAAAGACCGCGTTTGGAGAGCGAGGTTGGAGGTAGAAGCAGGGTGGTAGGCCAATACATGTTTGAAATACAATTTGATGAGATTGTGTGTTCACCAGGCATAACGTACAAATATACATATGTAGCCAAGTTCATACACATGTACATATAGCGGGGTAGCGGGGAACGGAGGTGTGACAGCAGTCCGCAATGATGTTGTCATCAAGCTCACAGTAACAAATTTTGTGATTATTTATTATTGTCACTTTTTGTCATTGTTGCTGTTGTTGTTGCCATTGTAAGTTTGTTCCATTCGTTGTTGTTGTCTTCTTATACAACTCAGTTGTCAGTTTAGTTCATTTGTTTGTTGTTTATGACCATTGGAATTCAAAAGAAAAGAAAAAAACGAGGAAAATTGAATGAGAGAACCCGCGAAAGAACGAACGAAGCGTTTTATTTAAAGTATGACACCATCGAAGAAACGACGACAAAATAAAAGAACAGCACAACAACAAATATGATAACAACAATATTTACGTTGTAGTGGTAACAACAAAAATAAAGTGCGTCTATTTTTTTTTTATTTTATTTTTTTGTAATGAATAGATTGCGAGCAGAGAGTGTTTTGCTAAGAAGCCACAGAGGGGAAATGCCACATAAACGGTGGTGCTGGTGGTCTAAGCCAAGAATGCGACTGGAGGCATCTATCTTCAGGGCTTTGTTTACATTAACAATGAAATTATGAATGAATAATGTGTAAATAATAAAATAAATCATGGCATATCTACAAATGTATGTTATGTATGTGAGACAGGTTGTAATGGTAAAATGGAACTCTTCCCGAATGTGGGTTAATCAGGTGTACATTATTTGAAAATTGGGCTTAAATGTTTAGCTTCGTTAAGTTTGGACGAAATCGTACTTAGCACTGTTATTTTCTGATTTTTTAGCAGTTATCCGATATCTGCTCTAATTTTCGAGATATTCATGCAAAAAGCATTCATTTGATTTCTTTTTTTTAATTAACAACACTAAGTATCATTCAATGGGGGTGGATTGGAAAATTCTAAAAAAAAAGGTTCCAAAAAAGTTTGGGGGTCCTAGGCCAATCTTTTTAGGGTCCATTATATGTAGCCATAACGAAATTCAAAGTACCTTAAATATTTTGGTCTACACTTCACAAAAATTACAATAGATTTTTCCAAGTGGATTCATATTTTTACACCCTCTATCTTGGAAAGGATGGTATATTAAATATGTCATTCCATTTGTAACACCTCTAAATATTCGGCATAGACCCCATTAAGTATTTATACAGGGTGATATGAAAAAACTTCAACCAACTTCAGACTGCTGTCATTCATAAGCCACTCGTCCGACAGCTGTTAAAATTATTCCAGTGACTGCTCAATATATTGTTTAGAAGCGTATAAAAGCATTTTGGTGAGAATTTTCCAGAAAAAAAGTTATTCGTGATATAATTCAAGCGTAATAGTGTGATTTCCTTATATTTGGTTGGAAAACCACATGTGGCTATCGTTAGAGCACGCCAGCATTTAATAGTGAATAAATCTTTTGTGTCTCGTACCATCGCTCGTTACCGCGATACTGTAGGTAGCGTATCCCGACTTCAAGGAAGTGAACGAAAGAAAACAGAAACATCAGCAGAAATGGTTCGAACATAAAGAAGCGACTTGATCTAAACCCGCGTCGCAGTGGCCGAAAAATTGCTCGTGAGCTGAACATATCGCAATATTCCATTCGGCAAATATTGAAAAATAAGCTGGGGGTAAAGCCATTGAAATGTCAAAAAGTGCAAGAACTTACACCGCAACAGAAAGAAAATAGACTCAAAAGAGCTAAAGAGTTGCTTCGCTTGGCCGATAGTGGTGAACTGCCGAATTTGGTTTTCTCCGATGAGAAAACATTTAAATAATTGTCTAGCAGTTGGTAAACAAACAAAATAAACGTGTTTACTTGCCAAAGAAGACAACTGA